ATGTTGGTGATCGTGTTCGAATGCTCCAAATACCACCCCTTTCATGTGAATGCGCACCTAACTAGATAGGACACGGCTGGCTTGAGCGATCCACTTGATAACCTGCGTCGTAGTACAGTTTAGCGAGAGCGCGTATGTTTTGGATTAGGCCAACCGGCTAACTCAAACATATCCAGGTTAGGTTGAACCAGCTTCGTAGTACAGGCCTCAGGTGGAGGTTTGTCTTGTCTGTAAAATTCCTACCGGGTGCTCTTGAGATATTGCAATCACATGAATTAAATGGATGTGAGGTCACAGTTATCTTTGACCCCCACATTCTAATGTACTTAATCCGTGAGTCGTAGTGTGTTCCCAGTTGGATCTCGCACTGATTTCAAAGTAATCTGTGACATGTCAAAAACAAAACTGTTTTACCTTGAAACTTAATTGACAATGCAGTTTAGTTGTATTGGATCGTAGATGTTGGAAACCTTGCTTGCACTAGTATAAAATATTATAAACACAGAACAAAAAAATCATAAATTATATAAAATGTAAATATCAAATAGAAATCAGTTTATCAATGCAAGTACTCACACCTGACATCAGAGTCTGGGGTTTAAGGTGTAGGTCCACACCAAGGACGACTTGTATGAATAAAATCATAAACATGTTGTCCCTTCTGGTATCCATGGTCAGTGTGATACTTGTCCAGTCACAGAAAGCATTCCACTGCTATACAATTTTCCACTACGAGGCTTATCTCTTAGTTTCCAGGACATCTTGTCCCCCCAATATGATAAGATGCAAGCCGCGTTGTCCTCCTATCGGTAAAGACATCCTTTGCTCCAAAGTTCTGCTCAGCAAATCTACACAGAAAACCGATGAACTCAAGGAGGAACTATACGTTGGTCTCAAGACCGTTAATGTCGATGGTGCAGTGCTCTTTGATCTTCTTCAGGTGCCTCGGGGGAATCGGAGGCTTCTTCCTCTCCGCAGGCGGCCGGACGCCCTCCTCCAGCTGCATCAGCCTGGCCACGTCAGAATGTACGAGCTCGTGTTTGCCTCCTGAAGAAGGGGGCCGGTAGTTACCGTTGTTGTTGTGACAGTTCATCATAGTTGGGGCGTTCAACACGGGCTTGGGCTCACAGATCAGAGGCACCTGGGGGCCGATGGGTTCACAGGAAGGGAAGCACAAATGGAATTAGGAAGTAGAAGAAAAAATGACAGCTGTTTAATCTACAAGGACAGTAACTACAGATACAAAAATATCCTTTCATTCTAAATGTCTTCTATAATGGAGAGCTTGTTTGATGCATTCTTCAATTTGTTAAAAATAACTAATATGTTCTTTTACATCGTTTTTATCCACTACTAAAACGATGCATGACAAGTTGCCACTAACATTATTAAACACTAACTGTGACAACCTCAACAGGAATTATTGATGGCCTTCAAAAGACAGCGCCACCCCATATCAGGCCTACAGTGTCACTGTCAGCATACGACAACTAGCCGTGAAGACGTCAGGCAACTTACTAACTTAAGTTAACGCTAATGTTTAGCAAATGTTTGGACATTCAGATTAAAACAAACCTGCCATTTCATTTGGTTTTAAATTCTCAGAAAGTAGTATTGAGAACACCCGAGGAGCAGCTCGATTAATAATATCCAGTCAATGCTTTTGTTATGAATTAACCTTTAATGAAAATCTATGTTAGGGTCACAATTGGGCAAGTTTCCTAAATAGAGAAGAACTGAAGCTATAATTAAAACTCACCCCATCCCCCTCTTTCATGAAGTCTTTCCTGCAGATGTGTGCCATGATGCCTGTGGCCAGAGCGTCCCCCATTACATTCACCATGGTTCGGAATCTGTCTCTGTAGAAGAGGAAGAAATTTGAGAGGATAAGATGAATATAAACCTCAAATATTTTGGGACATTTTGACCAAATGAAGAGGAGATGAAGAAGATGGGGCTCATGTGTTTTTTTATCTCGTATTTATAATTTGGATCTGGAAGTAAGTGAACACACTTTCTACTTACAATGCCCAGTCTACTGCAATGATGAGAGTGATGTCGTCAGTTGGCAACCCAACGGATGTTAGCACTATCACCATGGTGACCAGTCCAGCTTGTGGGATCCCTGCGGCACCAATACTGGCTGCTGTGGCTGTGATACTGGACATTTAAAAATAAACATGATGTCAACAAAGACATTTTTAATATAATGTATTGTAACAACTGAAGATAAATATTGACCCTGAGACCCTGAAAAAAGGTTGAAGGTGATTGATGAAAGAACAATGCACAACCAAATTCACAAGGATAAGCTTTTTTTCTCCAAAACGGTATATCATCATTCCTCTTTTACAAAAGCAATTGTCTTTCCACTGTATTTTACCCTCTAATGGAGTTCAACAGAACTATAATTACTGCCTTGCGGTTGTATCACCCCCAACCAGTACATTTGCAGTGTATACAAATCTTATAACTTCATACATGTTATCATATTAGATATTCATTTGAAAGCATATGAATTATGGCAAAAAAAATGCTATGTTTGTAGTCACAATGAATATGTCCTTCGATGGACAAATGTACACAACTCGAAAACCAACAGTTGCGCTTATAAGTACCCCTCCTGGGACATAGAAACCAGAAAGACTGAACTGAACTAAGATGGAAGCGTAAGCTAAAATGAACCCAGGTTAGAGAAATTCTCATCATGGAAAGTGAACAATAAAGGGAGATAATTTGAAACATACGGTAGTAGGCAGGGGAGAAAGGAAGTCAATATGTTTTTTTAACTGTAATCTTGCCCAAATAGAGGTAGTTGTGTAATCCTAAATGTACCTACTGTAAGGGCGTCCCAAGCTAAGAGTACAAATATTTGGAACGTGATTGGTAAGACTCGGCAATTGCATATTGGCTAACAATAAGTTGGTAGCTAATGGTCATTGAAGTGTGTTGTGTGTAAGTGCGCCGTTGACTGTTGTATTAACACAGAGAGTAGACCGATAGAGTGGTATACAAAATACGTAACTACGTTTGGTTTATCAGCCTCCTTACGTTTCATGACTGTACGAAAAACATATGGCAATCATTCCATTTCTCCAGTAAGGAAATCATCAAACAGAGAGAGTGAGATACAAGAATTAAAAAGCCTTTTCTATGCGTCCCACCTTTTCTGATTTTGACAGAGATTTATTTTATATATAAAAAATGTATGCGAGTGCTTTGATAAAACCCTTTGTTAAGGTTATTTAGCTTTTATAGCGCCATTAACAATATGCTGCTCCTATGGTCCTGTAGTCGGCTGATATTTAACTTAAAGTGGACCTATCATGCAAAATGCACTTTTGTACGTCTTTTATACATGAATATGTGTCCCCGGTGTTCCAGGGAACTCACCAAGTGTCAGAAAATACAACCCTCTCTCTTTTCCTCCGTACCCAAAACGGGGCAACAACGAGCGGATACAGATTCCATCCGACACGACGTCAGCCCGGAATAGTGGGCGGTGACGCTCCGCCTATCAGGGGAATGAGAGGTTTCCGTGGCATGGTAACAGCATGGCAACAGCATGGTAACATGACGCTCGTGCCTCACCCCCCTCCTTTGCAGGGGGGCGTGGTCAGCTGCAGCTCATTTGCCACAGAATCAGCCCTTGTGAAGACAGGGCTGGAATAGAGCAAATAGAGCGAAATGAGGCATGGCTAAAATGCAAGATCTGTTTGGTATTTTGAAAAAAAAACTTCACAGACATGTTTTATATAGGTTTGGCCCTACAATATATTATTCAAATATAGCATGATAGGTCCACTTTAATCATGTTTTATGAGGCAGAACCATGCATTGCTCCTATCGTCCAAAAATATATATTGGGGGTCAACCCTTTACCTAGTTGTGACGAAGGTAACTTTGCCACTATGGACTGACGGCTTTGGGACGGGTAATATTGCACTTTATTAGCGTGATTGCACAGTACAGTTAACATTGCGTATTTGCACATAATTTATACTAATTATTGAAGTAGTATTTTTTTAGCTGATTAAACTGTATTTATTGGAGTGTCGTCTGGCAGGTGCTGGTCGGGTCCTCGGCTCCGCCTGAGAATATAGGGGAGTTTGCGAGAGCGCCGAGAGCATGTATGCTGGTGGGGATGACAGCGGTTGAGTGTAATCAGGGTGCAAATAATATGTTGATGTCTGTGGCTGCTGATTGTGCGCACCTGGGGCCCTGGGTTGTCTCCTCCCCCCTCACCTGTGTCTAATTGCTCCCCCTCACCTGTGTCTTGTTAGTCTGTGTATTTAAGTGCTGTTTCTTGTTGGGCTGAGTGTGTGTGTGAGATCGTTGTGGCTGCAGGATGTGAGAAAGGAGAACAGCAGGATTGAGGCTGTGAACTTTGTGCCAATGTTTTGAATAAATGCCCACGCCGGGTTATATTTTTGGACGTTCTGCCTCTGCCTCCTTGTTTGGTCTGGGCCGCTCAACGGTCAGCTTCACACTAGCCATAGTTTGCCATAACCAATATCTTTCTGCTCTGCATTCTATTTCTCTGCAACCTACTATTGAGATGTTATGCAAGACATATTTTTTTATCATCACCACTATACTGTGAAATATATTTTAATCACACACAATTCCACACATAGTGGCTTTAAGGGGAAATTCCTACAAAGAAATTCACACATTGGCATTTCTGGTGTTGAATGCTGGCTGCTAGGGAAAGTTAATTGGTTTTATTTGTGATTCAACCCTCCTGTATTATCTGTACAGACTAAACCAATGTTTAATAGAGTGCCCTACTTTCCCTGTGGGCAGCAGCAGACAGCTGGTAGATGAACGCTGCCAGCTGTTACCCATAATGATAAAAAGAAAAGTTGAGCACAAACACTCAGATTCAATCCAATAATCTCATTTATTCTTAATCTTATTTGTTCCTGGATGGAATGAAACATTGAGAATAGCCTTGTGGGAGTATATCTCCATAGCAACTGTTCAACTGATTAGAAGCATCCTCTCTATTGAATGGTAAAGGAGATGAAAGCACACCAGTAGAAACTGTATTGAGGGTAAACTCTGTGTAAGTGTACATCTGGTGTCTGCCGCACATCCAGAGGTTGAGGATGGGATGATCCCAGCGCTCATTAGAGCATGATGGTGAGAGATGGCGGGTGGGGGGAGGGGATGGGTTGGGTTCAGAGCTCCAGCGGTGGCGTGACTGGGATATGCAGGTTTATCGTGGCCACATGGCTCTTTTCAGAGAGAGATAAGCGGATAGCTTCAATCTACAGTTCATATATGGAATTATATAGAAAAATATACATGGGGGGTTGTTGGACAACATAATTTCATTAAAACAGAATGTTGGAGTGGTAGTATCAAATATGTTCTTAAAATGTATAAATACATTTTCACTACACAACAGTCATTTGCTGTCAGAATACTTATGTTTCATTAATATTCATGAAAAGCCAGAAACAGTAGGCGTCATTTCCTTGTATTTCCAACATGCATTACATCTCCACAATATGTTTGTTATTCAGCACAGGATGCAACACAATGAGTGTCACGGTTGGCTTTACACTTGTAGCATAGTGGAGCTTTTATCTTGTTTTGCTTGCAAGTTGAAATGCTTTTGTGGGCAGATTATCTACGGCGCACTTGATCAAATACCCATGTGTTTTCTGTAATCTGTGCTTCCACTTGTCTCTTCTAGTGGATCACTACTGTTTCTTTTGCAACAGCAGGAGAGGAGTCTGCATTTCCACTGAATCGTATCTCTACTCAGATTAATTTGCTGTTTTTTTGGTTCCCCCATTAACATGTTGTGGATAGTATACGTGCTTACCATCTTGGTCAAGGTTCCAAGTTTACGGTCAATTCTAACTAGTACAACATGAGATGTACAAACCTAGCTTTTTTTAAATTGCCAAGCAACAGTAAATAGCAACCACAATTATTGTATTCACTCAACCCAGATTATTAAAATAATCATCATGTAAAATTACTCTGTATGCTTTTTACACTATGCTTTAAAATTGACAAAACGCAGAAGTTCCTCTGCTTGGTTGCAGATGAAAGTGTTCTGGAAGCGTAGCGTTGAAGAAAAACAAGATAGATAATAAAACCTTGTACCAACAGTGAGTTGAAGGGAGCCAAACCACGCAGTTAACATGATGCATTAGAATGCTTTATAAATTAGAAATAAGAAAGACAATTTTGTCAGAGATTAAAACCCATAACCAAGCCACATAAACACATCAATATGCAGCACTTGTCAGATGGTCAAAAACAGTGTCTAAAACGCCCTTCCCACACGCACAATTCCAATAGCACTTGGCAGGGACATTTTTGTAACTATTTGAAAAGGACAACCCAGCAATCATATTCACATCACACACCAATGTGAAGTGTGTGTGATTGGCCAAGTGTGTTGAAGACAAAAAGCAGGCAGGATTTGTACTTTCCTCTCAGCACTCTTTTCTCTCGTACAGCTACTTCCATCTCCTTTTGTGCACAACATAAGAGTCCTTCAGAACAGACCGTGTTGTTATCATTATGTGTCAGTTAGTGATTCATGTACGTCTTTATACAGTTTTATTTTCCATCTGTGGAAAACGTTTTCCTTAATTATCAATGTGCACTTGTACAGACTAGTTTCAGAGCTTGAGAAACAAAGGTTGGAATGTTGCTTTTATTCCAACCATCTCTTTCATGTGGATTTCAAATCAGTGTTGATGGGAAACGATTGAGTCAATCCATTACTCAATGCGGGAACATTTTTGTATTAGATCAACCAAACACTTGAGGTGCAAACATTTTCCCTTTGATAAAAACCATTGACTAATCCAGACTTGTTGAAAGGCTTTGATGTTGTATAGCAGGGGTGGGGAACCTTTTTCCTCTCAAGGGCCATTTCAATTTTTACAACATCCTTCGAGGGCCGTACAAATTATTGAACTCAACGTCTGTTTAAAAAACTCAAATCACAGCCCATTCATTTCGCGTTTCTTTCATGCTGTGCAAAGAAAAAGCAACCTCTTAATCCAGATATTTGACCATTCATGCACCGCGGCATGACCACCAAAACAGACAGATATGGACACAAGATGTGTGCAAATCTATTTAGTTTCATATCCATGTAGACATGATTTAAGTGGGGGGGGGCGGATCTAACCTCATCTAGGGGGGTTTGGGGGCATGCACCACCAGGAAGATTTTTTTTAAATGTTGAAGTTAAAAGCATCAATCTGGTGCACTTTGAGAGCAACATGGAGAGATCTATGGATACATCTCTCAACACCCACATGAAGCAGAACTGTAAGCACATTTTTTACTGTCATATTAGTATTGTATATCTGTTTACTTTGTTCTCTTATTTTTCTATAACTATAATGATCATATAAAGATGTGCCTTTACCTCACTGGTTGGAGAAAAAGCTTCTTATATTCATTCCGGAGCAGCGTTCTGGTGCTCTCCGTTAGAACTACACTCCTGTCAGACGAGACATATACCACGTGATGACACGTTAGGCTCGTGTTGTGTTCAAGGACCCTGACCTTGGCCAGGAAAAACAAGCTTGTTTAATTATTTTGCGGTCTAGATTTCTTGAATTTTTTTCTTTTTTGCGTGTGTTTATAAAATTACCTCGAGGGCCGTACCAAATGGTCTCGCGGGCCGTATACGGCCCGGAGGCCGGAGGTTCCCCACCCCTGTTGTATAGGACATGGCTTCAATGGTAGCATGCTCGAAATTATTTTGTGCACAACTGTTATTTCTGTCTGCTGCTGACATTAATCCATATATTCTTCCTCCTGCTTCTACTTTTCCAAAGATCTCTAAAGTAAGCCTCCAGATCAGATAGAATTCTCGGTTTCAGTTTAGATGAGCGCTAAGTTATTCAAACTGTGGGTTGAGATGCTCATCAACAAACTCTGACATGCTTACTGTGAGTTTTTGGATTGCTCCATGAAAGGAAAGACAATTCTGCATCTGGTTGGAAGCTGGGCAAGCTCACCATGATTTAAAGCTGTTTTTTTCATTGGATGTTGAAGGAATAACTCAACAAGACTTCACTGACGCTCATTTCACAGTGTGTCCAAACATCAAGGAACTTCAGATCCATCATCCATGCCCCGCTCTGTTTAAAAGTAGCATTTTTAAACTGATGAAATATATTTTCCTACCTCTGTGCTGCAAAAATATGAGGTTAAATAATCACTGAAAACCCAAATTAAAGTGGATATTTGAAAAGCCATGTATTATGCATAATGTATTTCTGCCATTTCGTGTAAAGGATTTATGAGCGTTGATATCATTGCTTTCAAATCCCCATGATATCTTTACCATGTTAATGGGCTTATAAGCACAGATGGTATAGGCCGGCAGCACGATCCACTGACCTGATGGTGATGATCTGGCCAAAGTCCAGCTCATAATTGTTAACTTGTGCGATGAATATTGCTGCCACGGCCTCGTAGAGAGCAGTGCCGTCCATGTTGATAGTGGCGCCCACAGGGAGCACGAAACGGATGATGCGGCGGTCAATGTGGTTGTTCTCTAAGAGGCACTTGAAGGTGATAGGCAATGTGGCAGAGCTGTAGAGGAACAACACAGAGGTGAGAACAAGCAAAGGTCAGGATAGAATCATTACATAACCACTTCAGAATTTCTCCTAAGCATATGTGTAAACAAGTGGTATCACCAGCAAATGCAAATATTCATATAATATAAGTAACCAGTGCAAACATTTTAGTATTTTGTAACCCATTCACATACATTTGGGAGTAATGGATCACATGTAACAGGATTATGTAATCAGGATACAAAAAAAGGACACTGTATTCCCTTAGTTACTTAAAAAAAATACATAATTAGATTAATGGTCAAAAATAAATAAAATAATGGGGATTACTAGCAGGATTACAATGTTCCAATACATTTAAAATATACCATAGATTGATATATTATAGGGAGACAAACTGCCTGAATTTTCTTTTGGGTTTTCATTTAGGCTTCTTTTATTCTTAACTACTCTTTATGTCAAGCAAATAATATTTTCAAAATGTTCATACTGAATATCTTGGTTTCTTCTTTTCTAAGGGCACATTTTTCTGTTGTCTTACACAATTAACAATTAAGTAAGAAACATCTTATTGATATTTATTTTCTCTTTTATTTATTTATTTTGCATTTGATATTTAGGTGATCCAAAAGTAACGTAAAGTAAACAGGTTACACTACTTTTATTTGACTGTAAAATATTTGTTTACAGGTAATTGTAACGGAATAAATGTTGCAACCCTCCCAACCCTGTTGTGTTTTAAAAGTTCAGTCCACTTTTGTCTTCCTTCCAGGCAGCCACTGGTGTCCATTATTTTTCACTGTTTGTATAGAGAAGCTATCTCCCAAATGATCAACATCTGTGCACACACACACACACACACACACACACACACACACACACACACACACACACACACACACACACACAGCTGCCAGTCTAATCAAATGCGTGGAATGTTCCTCTACATTCCCATGCCTTCCCACACACACACAGATGGTCTCTGATATCCCAAAGTCACTTTGATGCTTTTCATGCTTCTGTTCCAGTGAATGGATAAAACAGGAAAGGATAAATGGTATTAGAGCTCTGGATGCATCATTATGATTCACACATGAGAAATTAAAAAAACCCTCTGTTCTTTTACGATATAAAGAAAAACAAGGTAATTCAGTTTGTTCACCCTGAAATTATTTCCTTTACCTGGAAGAGGTCGCCAGTGCGATGAGCAGTGCTTGCAGGATTCCCCGTATGTAAACGATGGGGCTCTTTTTGGTGATGAAGAAGTACATGGCAGGCAGGATGAACAAGCCGTGCAACACCAGACCAAACACCACGGTGACGGCATAGAAACCCAGCTTTTTTCCCATGGCCGACGGATCGCTCATCTCCAGGATCTTACCGGCCACCAGGAACACGATGCCGAACGGGAAGTACCTAAAGAAGAAGTAGCTGAAAGTCAGCAAGAATGGCTCTGAGGTCCTTTATATTTATTCAACTGTTAGATTAGTTGGCCAAAAGACAGAAGTCCCAACAACTTAATTAAGAAGTAGAACTATACAAGATCGCAAAATTGCAAGGGATCGCTCTTTGAGCTCTGAGCCACCTTGTTGGCCCTGGTTTATGATAGAGTTATGGATAGTTTTACCCAGACATAAATGGGCAAATCATTTAACAGAACAAAGCATAAAGCTTTAAGATAAGACATATTGTTTCTCTCTGTTTTTCAGAGTTTTTTATCTGATCATTATGAGTGGTGGTTAAATGAAGTAAGAAATGTTACAAAGATCACAGAGCGTCCTTAATCATCCATCTTCCTTAAGTAAATAATAAATATAAAGTATGCCAAAATCATTATTAATGAAATATTAAACGTCTCCTTTTATACCGTTTTCAGGCATAGGTCTATGAAGTGTTTTTCTCAAAATACCAAACAGATCACCCATTCTAGCTGTGCCTCATACCGCTCTATTTCAGCCCTGTTAGAGAAGTGCTGATTCTGGGTCCGTAGCTTTAAAAAAAAAAGACGAGAGCTCATGCGGGAGAATTCTACGAGATACTCAGCTAAATGCTGCCGTGATTAAACGCCATATCAGCTTCCAAATCACATCAAGGATTATTCCTGAAACAGTAGCCCAAATGCTTTTTCTCTTGCGAGTTTACCACAAGGTGAGTAACTTTTTTTATCCTGCTTTTTTACACATACTCTCTCCAGTATAGGTTAGCTTTGAGTGTTAGCGATGCTTGCTAATGTAAACAAAGACCATATTACGTTCAAAACACGTTGCGCATTGTTTCTGATAGCGACGTAGTATCCACGTTTTTAGAGATGTAAGGAGGAAAAGAGAGAGGGTTTTATTTTCGGACACTTTGTGAGTCTACTGGACACATGTTTATGTATAAAAGACATCAAAAAGTGCATTTTACATGATAGCGGACCTTTAACTAAAGCCTGATTTGAAATAGTTTCTTAGGAGTCAAACTTTCCCTGCATATGATATCTATCAGACCACTAAAGCTAATTCAGAATGCTGCAGCCAGACTGGTCTTCAACCTCCCCCAGGTCTCCCACACTACACCACTCATTCGCTCCCTCCAACGTCTGCCAGTGGATGCAAGAATCTGCTTCAAGACACAGGTGCCGGCCCACAGAGCGGTGAATGGAACAGCCCCTTCCTACATCCAGGCCTTGGTTAAACCATATACTCCAGCACGTGCACTACGCTCGGCGTCAGCTAATCGGCTTGCTACTCCATCACTGCGAGTGGGACCCAGGTACCCCTCAAAAAGAAGCCTGTTTGTTATCCTGGTTCCTAAATGGTGGAATTAACAACCCATTGACATTAAGTTAGCAGAAACTCCAAATATCTTCCGTCGCAAACTGAAAATGCATCTATTTCAATTGTACCTTGGCAATTAAATTATAGCTGAAAATAATCACGAGACACTTTTTGAGTTCATTTAGGCCTTGTAACTAATTTGCACTTGCAATGGTATGATCTTGCTTGAATAAAGCGAATATATCTGCACTTTCCTTTTCGTTCAGAGTTTGAATCTTTATGGTTTTTGCACTTATTGTAAGTCCCTTTGGAAAAAAGCATCAGCTAAGTGATATGTAATGTAATGTATTGTAATTAATATCTGAATCCTGGAAATGTTTATTTGAAGACAATTGAGGTAAATAATATTTGCAAACCTAAGATAGCATCATAACGCTAGTTATCACTCCTGAGGCAGCTTGTAGGTTTTCTTGAATAGAACATTGAAATGGCTTGACTGATCTACTTTATGTTCAGACTTCACTGAAGTCCTAGAACATATTAGACTGAAATGCCTTCTCATACACCGAAGTCGCTTATTCATATCTGCTGTCAGTTTACCTTGAATGTTTCTGAAGGACAAACACTTTGGCTTCCTTAATTAAAGTAGTATATTCAAAGAAAATATTACCATATAACTATGGCAACAATTCTAAGGACGGCCTCATTCACGCTCAGGCAGAAGTTCACCAAGGCGCTGCCATTTGGCCCCATCCTTCCCAACATAATACCTGTGAAGATATAAAGAAAAATCTTTAATATGATTGTTCAGAGCTGAAGCTTGAAGCTGAACTCAAGACGAACAATGCAGTTTTTTTACCCATGGTTGCTGAAAAAATAACAATTCCAAGGACATTCATTCCATCGCTTGTTCCTTCTCGTATGCGTATGAGCACATCAGGGGGGGGAGTCAGGTCAAGGGCAAAGTTCTGGATGTCAGTCCCATTATCGTCCTGGATACCATAGATGAGCGCTCGCCGCGTCGTGGACTCTGATTGGGCCTGGCTCACCGTTGGCTTGGTTTTCACAATGTACTCGCTACTTGTTCGATACTGTTGCCAGGGAAGAGAAACAGAAGCAGAAATATACATTTGAATTAAATCTACGCCTTTGTGTTGGAAATGTTGTATGTATTATCCAATGTCTCACCTGCTGAAATGTTGCCTGGACCAGATTGGATGGGAACATGTTTCTGCAAGGCAAAGATATTTATTAGTATATTGTCTTCCAAAAGTTGTTTTTATACAATATTGTTCGTCAAAACGGATCCAGTTCTCTACAAAGCAGAATACCACTCAATAGTTTAACCCTATATTATGTTTACATGTTGGACCCTTTGGTACTATTCAGGTCAAATTGAATTTGTACATGATTGGGGTTTAAAAAGCATTACAGAAATGTAAAAACTACATACACAATCCCATACAAATATTGTCTTTGCCCAAAAAGCATAATCGGGCCTCTTAGTTTTTTGTGATGAAGTTATAATTATTGCACACAAATTCTAAAGAGTTGGGTTTTATATTTATTCTTAACTATGATTGTTTTTCTTTGTGGCGGGGCATTTTGGCATCAGTACCAAATGTTTTTTTCCAATTCAATGTTCTGAGCAAGCCAAGGCCATGGAGCTTCAGATTGAAAAATATCCTTATATAATTTTTTCTATTTGTTTAATTCAAAACATCCCAAAAGGGTTAAAAGAAATGGCAGTGAGTCATAGTTAGCAGGATTCAAGAATAACATCTTATACTTTTATACAATCTGACAGAATACAGAGCAGGTGTGAACAGTGAAACCTTTTTCCTGGTCGCAGTAGACTTAATTATTAAACTTTCTACATAAAGAACGTAATGAAACAAATAACAAATACAAAATGAGATTATGATCGTGGTTATGTAATATATGATACATTTACCCTTTTGTATAAACGAACCAAATCGGACTGAAAATGTCTTGCTGGTCTGTTTGCCTGCAGTTGTGCAATACAGTGTTAACTCAGCACGACTGACCTCAAATCATGTTGATATTTACAGTAGAGTCATACTTTCAAATTTGTGTGACATTCTACCAAATAAGAAAAAACGAGTGGCTGCAATACAATGAAATACATTTTCGCTGATAATACTTTTTCAACCATCAGCGATGCCACAGAACTGACTACTATTATTACTCACTATAAAGATGTACTTTACATCAACTCAACTGTGTTCTACTAGTGCTTGGAAGGGTCATGTCCACATAGCAACTTCTTCTGAGAACCAGCGTCTTTTTAAATTAAATGTCCTTAAAAACGTTTTTCAAATCCCACTGCCAATGTTGTGCGGCCCCTCCGAGCACTTTAAATTAGAAATATAAATGTTTTTCAGAAAAGCCCCGGTAACGCCATATGGTCACAGACATAAGTTGTGTACGGCTTATAATACAAAGAACAGAAATACCCAATTTCTGAAATGCAACCAACAACCTTCTTTCTATCCCCACACGAACCAAGCACTGAACCTGGGGGGACAGGGCCTTCTCCATCACTGACCCCACACTCTGGAACTCCCTTCCACAACACATCAGAGACTGCACCGACCCCCCACTTTCAAAACACTGACCAAAACACACCTCTTCAGACTTGCTTTTAATTTGTTAATTATGTTGTGTTGCTGTTTTAATATTTTTATTCTATTATAATATGTGTTGCTGTTTTAATTATGTTTTATTCAATTTCATCTCGTTTTATCACCACTGTAAAGCGTCTTTGAGCACCTGAAAAAACGCTTTGAAATGAAATGTATTATTATTATTATTGTTATTATTATTACATCTGTATAAATAATAGCATTGTCAAAAGTCAAACTGTGTTGTCATTTATTATTTGCTTAATGTTGAGGTAATTTGAAGAAGAATATGATCAGAGCCGTGATGAAAGGGAAATGGTTGTTCCCATAGTTTGTAAAAAGATCCCAATTTTATTAAAGCTTTTAGTAAATGTTGTTTACATATTGTGCACAAATTAAATCATTTTTCATCTAATAAAATAAAAAGCAACAGAAAACACAAATCCCCCTGAGGGCGGCTTAGACTGGAGATTAAGTGCTTATAGGCTTTCATGGGTGTTTTTCCATGCTGAAAAGTCAAAAATATTTGACCATATAAGTAGCTCTTGTTGTTTAGTGTTCTTCTCTGAATGTCCAGTGAACCAAACACAAAGATAAACTGGCCCGGAACATGTAGGATTTATTTCAACATAAAAAGACAAGACAACAAACCAAACAAAAACAATTATCTTCTTCAAATCAACAGCCTATTGTAATGTTTGTAGTCCATCACTTTTAATGACTAAATTACCACTGTGTTAAATGCAGCTGATCAAAAAACAATTCAATACAAAATCCTAATTGTTTCTGAGCAATATTTCAATGTAACTACAGTCACACTAAATCTCACTGAACAAAGTCTCATGTTTGGTACCAAATGTCATACATATGTACCATTCTCTCAATTACATTAGTTCTTAGATCAAAAATAAATAATGAAAAGACAGCTTTAGGTCCATACGTTTACCCTCAAGTCAAGTTGAATAAAGGGTAAATGCATATGGAAACATAAAGAAAGCAGCTAGCTTCCCAGATGTGATTACTGTAATGAAGTGATAATCTCAGTCGACCACTCACCAAAGCCGTATAGGACTAGAGCCATGGAGGCCTGAGGCAGAGTACATGATTGTGTGTGTTGATGGGGGAACGAGAGAAAGAGGTGTGCATGTGTGTGGCAGTCTGTTTTGAAGTGTGTTTATGCATATGCATAGGTTTGTGTGTGTGTGTGTGTGTGTGTGTGTGTGTGTGTGTGTGTGTGTGTGTGTGTGTGTGTGTGTGTGTGTGTGTGTGTGTGTGTGTGTGTGTGTGTCTGTGTGCACTGGAAGCAACATACCCCGAGGCTGTGACAGACGGACTCTAAACCACGTTACCCACACACCCCACTGCCTCGCTTAATAGTGCATGAGATAAGAACATTTGGACTCCAACATAACGCACCCACCCCTCCAGCACCGACCAGTCCTCCATGGGAAATTGAGCTTTATGACTCCCCAGATTGAGACAATGGTTTGTATTGTTGAAAGGAATTCCATGTCAACAACTGGATGGGTTGACTAGGGAACTTAATACAAACACAGACACACTCAGTGGCTCAGCAGTACAGTATGGGTGATACTGCACACATGCGACAAGAGCAGGAAAAAAAACACAGACAAGTAGATAAACAGACATAAACTGGCACAGATGCACAGGCAAATACACTGCACACATGGACATTAACACATGAACACCAAGGGACACAAACAAGCTGGAATACAAACAGGAATAAAAAAAACACACCATATTACAATTTGTCCGTTGAGATTTTCTGTGTACAAAATCGTAGGTCAACCTGCTCTTTCCATTTGTTTATCTGATCAGGTACAGTGTGGTAAGAGGCAAATAAATAGAAAAAGGCTAGCTACTAATATATCTTTCTCCCAACAGTGTTGAAATAACAGCAGGACATTTTTCTGTGATCAGAGCCAGATAAGTAATAAAACTGCAGCTTTGAAAAGCAGTGTTTAAAATGATTTGCAATGGAATAACATAACATTTAAAGTACCCTTCCCAACTTTGGAAAACTGATTCTAATGTTTCTTTTTTGCAGATAAAGAGCAGTTGACGTGTGGTAACACAACTAATTAGTAACCCAAAACTCACTCAAAAAGTTATAAATCATAATTGTCCTAATGCAAACCAGAGGTAATCTGAGCAGTGGACATTTCTGAAGCAGCAAACTCTCACAGAGATCAGATGAAGACATGTGACTCAGTCAAGGAGTGAGCGTGCACACCTGCAAAAAAGCAGGGCTGATCAACAAACCATTGTGAACCAACTATAATGTCAAGTTAAAGAAACAGAGTGCAGTAATGCAGACAGAAAGTGGTAGATAGTGGGTGGATGCGGCAGACTGAAACGCACAGCCAGAAACAAACAGAGAGAAAGAAATAGACACAGACACCCAGCCAGCCAGAAAGGCAGCCAGGAATCAAAAAATAAAGTGAAGCAAAGAGGAAAAAGACAGACAGGCATCCCAACTGTGACAGGCAGACCGCATTGGCGCAAGGAAACTTAAGTGCAAATTCTGAAAGACAGCAGTATATGAAACAAAGAGGCAGAGAGAGGCAGGAGGGAAGAGAGTCAAAGTGTAACTAGAGGGGACAGAAAAAGTGACAGAGGAGGTAGCGCAAGTAGGATGCATGAGTGAGAGCTGGAGAGGATGAGAGAGACATACACACAGACTGATAGAGAGTGCATAGCTCAGCAGGGATTCTTACATGCTTGTACAATCCAACAGAAAAGAGAAATACTCCACATGACAAGGACAACTTGTCTTTCCTCCACACTCTCTTAAACTTGCATTCTGAGGCTGTGAAACAGGCTCTTAACCAGCCTGCCAGCCAAGCAGATTAGCAGCCGTCCACACTGTAAAAGATTACTTCAGCAGACGGTTAGCTTGGTTGGATTAATGGAGTTTTTTTAAGGACAGGACCAAGGGACTGGTCTAAGTCCTGTGAATACTGTCCCAGAATGCACTCTTAGAGATAATGATGCCACTTAGTGCTGTGTTCTCTTAAAATGAAATGTGTTTTGCTATAAAAATATGTTAAGATCATTTGGAAGCTCCTGGGCCAGATGTGTCAGCACAAAATGATAGCGTATTATCAGTAAACCAGACTAGAAGTTCCTCGGAGACAAGAATAATAGAGACCCTTGTCTGAAAGTCTGGAGGTATCCTTTCAAGTGGATGCAAATTTCTACCTGAAGTTTTTGAGAAGTAGTGTTAACATTTGTGGCGGGTATGGTTGCTGTCGTTATCAAATTTACATTTCTGTCTGGCATCCTTTCTGTCAGTGTGGAGCCGAGTGAACTGCCGGTGAACTGAGGAGGAGGCTGGCTCAGTGCTCTCACTGTGGCACACAAAACCTCACTGTGCGTGTGTGAGACAGAGAAATGAAGTCAAGGAAAGAGAGATAAAGAGGCAGGGGGGGAAATAGCTAAGAGATAGTTAAAGGGAGAATAATATGGTTGGATAGAAGGTGTAAACATCTTCTTGCGATCGGCCTTGTAACTGTGTGCTTTCATACTCAATAAATGTGTGTGTGAGTGGCCACAAGTTGACTGTGTCAGCAGCTCTCATTACCCCACACAGCCGTGGACATCAGAGACCTATTAGCTGGTAAAGCAGCCTCTGCCTGTCTGAATACAAACAACAGCAGCACAGAGGACGACACAAACACACACACACACACACACACACACACACACACACACACACACACACACACACACACACACACACATCGACAATAAACAGCAAGGAAAAGAGAGGCTCACAAATGAACACAGAATCACTGATGCACATTTAGCACTTGCACACATGCATACTGTCGAGGCAGGAAGTGGATTATCTACCCGACCCAACTGAAAAGTAGTCTGACTGCTGCACAGGGATTAACTTTGTATGTGCAGGAATATTCAAATGAATCTGAATTTTTATTTTAGCCATGAACAAGGCCATCCAGGTTCCTGTAGGCTGCCTGAGGTGGAAGGCAGGTAATTTGGATAAAAAAGAAAATAAGTCATGTTAATGGACAATTAAGTTGCATGTGAACATTCTTTAATTCCCTCTAGGCCAATTATGGTTTTAACATGGGCCCACTCCCATCTAAAAGAAGAGTTATTACCCTGAATGTAACACGTAGTAGCTCAAGCAGTTTGTGATTAAGACAGTCAACCTGTTTATATTACAGTGAGTTTTTTATTTTTAGATAGCTAACTTTACATTTTTCTGTTTCCGAGTAAGGATAACATGCCAACAAATTTCAATCGCAAGTCTACCCTATCGTAAAGCTAACCCTGCCTGTCTGTCAGAGAGTGCATGCTAACAGGCTAATGCATAATTGAAAGCATGACTCACGCTTAGTCAACTTATTTCTCTTCTGAAGATGACGCCTTGTCCTTGTCGGGAAAGGAATGTGTGTCCACTGTGATTCAGCTCGGGCTGGTTAGTCCTAATAATAGTCGAGGTTTAATGTTGAGGTGTTGTGAACGTTGCCGCTGGCTATACAAATAACTGTGTGTGTGGGCTGGGCATGCATGTGTGATAATTTCAGCGCCTAAGATTGTCAGCAATATACACATACATACTGTACAAACTGTTTGAGTCGGACTGTAATTTTATCCAGCAAGGACATTTACAAGTACCATGAATTTGACCTTGTGAACTGGCGCTGGCACCACAGCAAAGAACAGAATAGCTAACGGCCAGCGCATACTAATTAAAAGCAGGGCATTACAGATTGATCTGATATGAAAAGACCTTAAATGAAAAATATCGTCTAAAAAAGCCTTAGCTTTAAGGTGCAATCTTGATTTGTCTGACCCTGTACAAATGGTACAAACTCACATTAGTGGGGAATTACAGTAGGTGAACATAACGATTGAGTCAGCTTGCCACATGCTAAACTATATGTCTATTTCTTTTTTTAAAGGGCATGGCCATTTTTTTAAGTGCTCCCAAATTAAATCCAATCTCCCACTTGACAGTGTTGTGCCATGTTTGTTGCGAAAGTGGGCCTGTATCCAGCTGTATTCAGCATAAAGGCTGTATCCAGCATGGAACTACTACATTATTGAGAGCAGGGGCATTTACTTGAGTTTATTCAGCCCATTTCCAGGCACTCAGATTATGCCTCGCACTGGACTGGAAAATCGTGTCAGTGCAGATACTTTTACGGGAAGGCTTTCATAGTCTGCTGCATAATCTGCCTCCTGGAAACCCAACTTTTGACATTAACCATCACATGGATATAAATGGCATGCTCGTACATGAAGATTCCCAGACATGAATGACCTTTGATGCAGATTATTAATGGAAAAAAATAAATCATCTAGACTACGCCATTGTATCATCATAGAGCATTATAATTGCCATGATGTCAGCAAAATTATAATTTTAGAAGGAAAGGGGATTTGGATGGTGGTCATTGTTGAAAAAAAAGCTGCTTCTCCTTATTTGGGAATGGTTTTAAAGGGTTGATGAATTAATCGGTTATGAAGCAATCAAGATATTGCGTACTTAATAATATTAAGTGTGATCATCTATATATTATATGGATTTTTGACGTGGGCTTACTGGATATATAAACCAACCCAAAATGCATTGCGGCTCTTCAGAATGTCCAATGGCCAACTGCCAGATAGAAGGTTTAAGTAGTTGGATACAATTATTATGAATGATGTTGATTGACATTTAGGTACAGTTAGTATTACCTTAACTTTACAGCTCATATTTAACAATGACATATGTGTGTGAACAGTCTGCTGGTTATGGCAAACCTATTTGTTATTTAGTTAGGCAGTATGCAGGATATACTCATTGAATATTATATAAGCAGTAAGACAGCATGCAATTTTGAAGACAGACACTGGGTTCTTAATAGAGCTTGTATGAACACATTCAAACAAATCCCCCACCATGTTGTTCAGTCTGCTTGTTGTTAGGTGGATCTCAGATTGTCTTAATGTGATCAAGTTTCTCTTCATTGGAAAGAGACAACAATGAGCTAGAGGATTGCAGATATCTTCACCTCACGCTGTAATATTTGTATTAAAAATATATTTGTTTGTATGCAAACAAAGGAAGAAAGAGTTGTGTTATATACCCACAAAGGCAGAGACTGTGATAGTATAACATCTGATAATATAGCTAGTGTTACATATGTCTAAATCGGATTTATTACACTATATCCAGCTTAAAGATATCTCCATCCAAACAGATCTGATTCAGCACTAGTCAAGCACAGTCCTGACAAGGTGTTATGCAGGAAAGAAATAACTAAATAAAGATAGGACACCAGATAATGTTTTTGGATTAGCTTGCTCGACTATCACCTCCTCAATTGTGGCAATACAGCACACAGCATTATATTAATACACAGAAAGATATTGCTTAAAACGTTATAATACTGATATGTCGCCTC